GATTCTTTGTCGGGATCCTTCCTTTCTTCAAACGGAACGAACAGAGATAGAATCAGAGCGATTCCCTAAAATCCTTTCTGGATATTCCTCAATGTGCCGACTATTCATGGAACGTGAGAAGCAGATGAATAATCATCTGCTTCCGGAAGAAATCGAAGAATTTCTTGGGAATCCTGCAAGAGCCACTCGTTCTTTTTTCTCTGACAGATGGTCAGAACTTCATCTGGGTTCGAATCCTACTGAGAGGTCTACTAGAGATCAGAAATTGCTGAAGAAAGAACAAAAGAAACATCTTGTTCTTTCCAGGCGATCGGAAAATAAAGAAATAGTGAATTTATTCAAGATAATTATGTACTTACAAAATACCGTCTCAATTCATCCTATTTCATCATATCCGGGATGTGATATGGTTCCGAAGGATGAACTGGACAGTTCCAATAAGATTTCATTCTTGAACAAAAATCCATTTTGGAGTTTATTTCATCTATTCCATGACCGGAACAGGGGGGGATACACGTTACACCACGATTTTGAATCAGAAGAGATATTTCAAGAAATGGTAGATCTATTCACTCTATCAATAACCGAGCCGGATCTGGTGTATCATAAGGGATTTGCTTTTTCTATTGATTCCTCCGGATTGGATCAAAAACATTTCTTGAATGAGTTATTCAACTCCAGGGATGAATCGAAAAATCACTCTTTATTGGTTCTACCTCCTCTTTTTTATGAAGAGAATGAATCTTTTTATCGAAGGATCATAAAAAAATGGGTCCAGACCTCTTGCGGGAATAATTTGGAAGATCCAAAACCTAAAATAGTGGTATTTGCTAGCAACAACATAATGGAGGCAGTCAATCAATATAGATTGATCCGAAATCTGATTCAAATCCAATATAGCACCCACGGTTACATAAGAAATGTATTGAATCGATTCATTAAAAAGAATCGATTCAATCGCAACTTCGAATATGGAATTCAAAGGTATCAAATAGGAAATGATACTCTGAATCATAGAACTATAATGAAATACACGATCAACCAACATTTATCAAATTTGAAAAAGAGTCAGAAGAAATGGTTCGATCCTCTTATTTGGATTTCTCGAACGGAGAGATCCATGAATCGGGATCCTAGTGCATATAGATACAAATGGTCCAATGGGAGCAATAATTTCCAGGAACATTTGGACTATTTCATTTCTGAGCAGAATAGCCGTTTTCAAGTAGTGTTTGATCGATTGCATATTAATCAATATTCGATTGATTGGTCCGAGGTTATCGACAAAAAAGATTTGTCTAAGTCACTTTTTTTCTTTTTGTCCAAGTTTCTTCTTTTTTTGTCCAAGTTTCTTCTCTTTTTGTCTAACTCACTTCCTTTTTTCTTTGTGAGTTTCGGGGGTATCCCCATTCATAGGTCCGAGATCCACATCTATGAATTGAAAGGTCCGAATGATCCACTCTATAATCAGTTATTAGAATCAATAGGTCTTCAAATCTTTCATTTGAAAAAATGGAAACCCTTATTATTGGATGACCAAGATACTTCCCAAAAATCCAAATTCTTGATCCATGGAGGAACAATATCACCATTTTTGTTCAATAAGATACAAGAGTGGATGATTGACTCATTCCATACTAGAAAGAATCGCAGGAAATCTTTTGATAACACAGATTCCTATTTATCAATGATATCCCACGATCCAGACAATTGGCTGAATCCCGTGAAACCTTTTCATAGGAGTTCATTGATATACTCTTTTTATAAAGCAAATCGACTTCGATTCTTGAATAATCAATATCACTTCTGCTTCTATTGTAACAAAAGATTCCCTTTTTATGTGGAAAAGGCCTGTATCAATAATTATGATTTTACGTATAGACAATTCCTCAATATCTTGTTCATTCGCAACAAAATATTTTCTTTTTGCGATGGTCAAAAAAAACATGCTTTTTGGGAGAGAGATACTATTTCACCAATCGAGTCACAGGTATCTAACATATTGATACCTAACGATTTTCCGCAAAGTGGCGACGAAGGGTATAACTTGTACAAATCTTTCCATTTTCCAATTCGATACGATCCATTCGTTCGTGGAGCTATTTACTCGATCGCAGACATTTCTGGAACACCTCTAACAGAGGGACAAATAGACCATTTTGAAAGAACTTATTGTCAACCTCTTTCAGATATGAATCTACCTGATTCAGAAGCGAAGAACTTGCATCAGTATCTCAATTTCCATTCAAACATGGGTTTGATTCATACTCCATGTTCTGAGAAATATTTACCATCCGAAAAAAGGAAAAAACGGAGTCCTTGTCTAAAAAAATGTCTTGAGAAAGGGCAGATGTATAGAACCTTTCAACAGGATAGTGCTTTTTCAACTCTCTCAAAATGGAATCTATTCCAAACATATATACCATGGTTCCTTACCTCAACAGGGTACAAATATCTAAATTTCATATTTTTAAATACTTTTTCAGACCTATTGCCGATACTAAGTAGCAGCCAAAAATTTGTATCCATTTTTCATGATATTATGCATGGGTCAGATATATTATGGCGAATTCGTCAGATTCCATTGTGGAAGACACAATGGAATCTGATAAGTGAGATATGGAATCTGATAAGTGAGATATGGAATCTGATAAGTGAGATTCCGAGTAATTTTTTACATAATCTTCTTCTGTCCGAAGAAATTATTCATCGAAATAATGAGTTACTATTGATATCGACACATCTGAGATCGCTAAATGTTCAGGAGTTCCTCTATTCAATCCTTTTCCTTCTTCTTGTTGCTGGATATCTCGTTCGTACACATCTTCTCTTTGTTTCTCGAGTCTACCATGAGTTACAGACAGAGTTCGAAAAGGTAAAATCTTTGATGATTCCATCATATATGATTGAGTTGCGAAAACTTCTGGATAGGTATCCTACATCTGAACTGAATTCTTTCTGGTTAAAGAATCTCTTTCTAGTTGCTCGGGAACAATTAGGAGATTCTCTAGAAGAAATACGGAGTTTTTCTTTTGGTGGAAACATGCTATGGGGTGGTGGTCCCGCTTATGGGGTCAAATCAATACGTTCTAAGAAGAAATATTTGAATCTCATCGATCTCATAAGTATCATACCAAATCCCATCAATCGAATCGCTTTTTCGAGAAATACGAGACATGTAAGTCATACAAGTAAAGCAATCTATTCCTTGATAAGAAAAATAAAAAACGTGAATGGTGATTGGATTGATGATAAAATAGAATCCTGGGTCTCGAACAGTGATTCTATTGATGATAAAGAAAGAGAATTCTTGGTTCAGTTTTCTACCTTAACAACAGAAAAAAGGATTGATCAAATTCTATTGAGTCTGACTCATAGTGATCATTTATCAAAGAATAACTCTGGTTATCAAATGATTGAACAACCAGGAGCAATTTACTTACGATACTTAGTTGACATTCATAAAAAGTATCTAATGATTTATGAGTTAAATACATCCTGTTTAGCAGAAAGACGGATATTCCTTGCTAATTATCAGACAATTACTTATTCACAAACCCTGTGGGGGGCTAACAGTTTTCATTTCCCATCTCATGTAAAACCCTTTTCGCTCCGCTTATCCCTACCCCCCCCTAGGGGTATTTTAGTGATAGGTTCTATAGGAACTGGACGATCCTATTTGGTCAAATACCTAGCGACAAACTCCTATGTTCCTTTCATTACAATTTTTCTGAACAAGTTCCTGGATAACAAGCCTAAGGGTTTTCTTATTGATGATAGTGATGATAGTGACGATAGTGACGATATTGATGATAGTGACGATATCGACCGTGACCTTGATATGGAGCTGGAGCTTCTAACTATGATGAATACGCTAACTATGGATATGATGCCAGAAATAGACCGATTTTATATCACCTTTCAATTCGAATTAGCAAAAGCAATGTCTCCTTGCATAATATGGATTCCAAACATTCATGATCTGGATGTGAATGAGTCGAATTACTTATCCCTCGGTCTTTTAGTGAACTATCTCTCAAGGGATTGTGAAAGATGTTCCACTAGAAATATTCTTGTTATTGCTTCGACTCATATTCCCCAAAAAGTAGATCCAGCTCTAATAGCTCCGAATAAATTAAATACATGCATTAAGATACGAAGGCTTCTTATTCCACAACAACGAAAACACTTTTTCACTCTTTCATATACTAGGGGATTTCACTTGGAAAAGAAAATGTTCCATACTAATGGGTTCGGGTCCACAACAATGGGTTCAAATGTACGAGATCTTGTAGCACTTACCAATGAGGCCCTATCGATTAGTATTATACAAAAAAAATCCATTATAGACACTAATATAATTAGATCCGTTCTTCATAGACAAACTTGGGATTTGCGATCTCAGGTAAGATCGGTTCAGGATCATGGGATCCTTTTCTATCAGATAGGAAGGGCTGTTTCAAAAAATGTACTTCTAAGTAATTGCTCCATAGATCCTATATCTATCTATATGAAGAAGAAATCATGTAACGGGGGGGATTCTTATTTGTACAAATGGTACTTCGAACTTGGAACGAGTATGAAGAAATTAACGATACTTCTTTATCTTTTGAGTTGTTCTGCCGGATCGGTCGCTCAAGATCTTTGGTCTCTACCCGGACCTGATGAAAAAAATGGGATCACGTCTTATGGACTCGTTGAGAATAATTCTGATCTAGTTCATGGCCTATTAGAAGTAGAAGGCGCTCTGGTGGGATCCTCACGGACAGAAAAAGATTGCAGTCAGTTTGATAATGATCGAGTGACATTGCTTCTTCGGTCCGAACCAAGGAATCCCTTAAATATGATTCAAAATGGATCTTATTCTATCGTTGATCAGAGATTTCTCTATGAAAAATATGAATCGGAGTTTGAAGAAGGGGGGGGAGTCCTCGACCCGCAACAGATAGAGGAGGATTTTTTCAATCACATCGTTTGGGCTCCTAGAATATGGCGCCCCT